CGGGGGCACCGGCGCTGCGCTGTGCCGCGGCCGGGCGAGAGCCACCCCCGGGATCCGTGCCCGGCCTGGGGCTCGCCGCGGGAACGCGGCCGTGCGGGTCCTCTCGGGCCGGCCTCGGCTGCGGCTGCTGGGCCAGGACGCCCGCGGCTTCGTTCCCTGAGTGCCCTCAACCTCCCGCAGCACTCCAGGTGGATTTAAAGGTGCCTCAGCGCCCCCGAGGCTTAAGAGGAAAGACTTGTCTAAAAATTGCCCTCCTTTTGTCGAAGTGTCTTTTCATATTTGGATTTTTTTTTTTTTTTTTTTTTTTGCGGAACCGGGGATTGAACTCAGGCCCTTGTGCTTGCCAGGGAAGCGCTTATTCCACTGAGCCATCTCCCTGGCCCAATATTTGGATCTTATTAATAACCAAATTACTTAAATTGAGCTGTAACGTTTTTATTCATCGTGGTCTAAAGCCACCCCTCCAGATCTCTCTACCTTTTAAAATTTTGAGATGGGGTCTCTAAATTGTCCAGGCTAACCTAGAATTTGTGATTTTCCTGCCTCAGCCTCTTAAGTAGCTGAGATTACAGGCTTGTACCACTGTACTGGACTGGAAGATATATATATTTTTAAAATTTTATTTATTTTTGTGTGTGTGTCTGGACATCTCAGCCCACCTGGGGGCTGGGCTGGCTGGCATGTGGTGCTGGGGGATTGAACCGCGGTCCTGTTCTAAGTAGGTGCTTTAGACCACTGAGCCATCTCACCAGCCCCCGGAAGATATATTTTAAATTGGCGTGATAGTTCAGTACATTTCGCTTTTATTAGGGATATATTTGTTATAAGGGACACTTATCAACTATTTTCAATAGGAAATTGGTATTTAGAGTTAATGTCAAATTTGTGTTTATATATCTAGTTGTTGTAGACATTTATGTGCCTCCATCTCATTTTATCCTTTGAGAAAGTTATTGTTCATTATTTTAAAAGATGAATAAATCACACCCACTTAACTTGCTTGATTTGGTAATATTTATTAAAATTAAAAATAAGAAACCCTGGACCCAGGAACTCCACTTCTAGGATTTTGTCCTATCAAAGTGGTACAAGTGAACAAATGTTCAGCAAAGTATTATTCTGTAATAACCCCAAGCAGGAGACATGTTTGTGAATAGGGCTATTTCAATGAGTAATGTATACTCATATAATCGAAATTGTAGGAAGTCTGTAGGACAGTTGTAATATAGTCTGTGCTCTGATTCAGCCAACCCCCAATTGAATATATAAAAAAAACTATTTAAAAACTATTGAAAATATGCAGACCTTTTTTTTTGTATTTTCTAAGCAATGCAATATAACAATTACTTATATAGCATTTACATAATATTTGGCATTATGTATAACATAGAGGTGATTTCTTTGGGCCAGCTCAGCTCACTCAGGGGGCAGGGCTTGAACCGAGGTCCCTGCCTGCTTGCCTAAACTTGCTTCTTAAGCAGGCACTTTAGACCACTGAGCTATCTTGTAGGCCCACTGATAGAGGTGATTTAAAGTATACAGGATAATGGGTGATGATTACATACAAATACTATATTTTATATATGAGAGACTTGATGTTCAATTTTATATACGCAAAGGCTCTGGGAACAATTACCTCATGATATTGAGATATGACTATTTTAATATACACTAATAAAGATAACATTTTGTGTACAAAATGTGAAGTATGTTGTATATGCCTAGAAAATCTCTTAAAAGATTTACCTTGAAGTATTTAAAAACAAGTTTACATTTTAATAACTAAATAAATACCTTGATTAAGAGCACACACTAGTATGCAGAAAACCAGAATTTGAACTCAAGTAATGCTCTGAGTAATGAGTTTTCTATGTTCTCTTAAATTTGAAGAGCTTCAGTTCTCTGCCGCCATCCAATAATGCTTTGATAAGAAGGTACAAGGTCAGGCTCATGGCTTTCTACTTACTCAACTGATAAGTTCTGTGAAACTAATTATTTTGGGTACCTGGCACCATGGAAACAAGACAGGAGAGTTCAGCTTTTCCCACCTGGGTGATTTCTATAGTCTTTTCGCTTTTTAGAGGTAACGGTGGAGAATTGGAGCAAGCATTATGGAAAACAGATGGCAGCTCGTCAAAGAATTAAAAATAGAGCTACTGTACTCTGCGATCCAACAATTCCAAGTATGGACATACGTCCAAAGGAAATAAAATGAATATCTCAAAGAGAAATCTGCAACTGTGTGTACAGCCAAGATATGGAAACAACTATGTCAGCAGACCCCCTGCAAAAAGAAAAAAGTAAACATATAATGCTAGACATTATAGAGCATGCCCATAATCCCAGCACTTGGGAGGCTGAGACAGGAGGATCACCAGGAGTTCAACGGCAGCCTTAACTATATAGCATGATCCTGTCACAAAAAAAGAAAAAAGTATATATACACAGTGGAATAATCTTTTATACAGAAATAAATTTTCCCTTTGAGATAATAAAGTTGAACCTGGAGA